CTGATAACTGTGGTTCAGCCTTTGTCTGCTGGGAGGATGATGATGGTTTGGTCTTTCTTTAGGCTTTTGAGGGCTGCCCTGTCTTCTGCTTTGAGCTGGTGCTGATTCTACGTTCTTCTGATCTGTGGTATGATTGTCTGCCTTATGTTTTCTTGGGTCTCTGTGTTAAGTCCTGTAGTTTTAAATGCTGCCTAGAAGGCTGCACAGAATTCTAGCTGATTAGCATTACCGATGTTATAGCTGAGGCCCTTCTGGAGGATATTGTGTTCTGCAGTGGATAGTGGTCAGCTGGACGTGTTGCTTACCCATTCTGGTTCAAGTACCTCTTTGTTTCTGGGGTTTAGTTTGAGCAATTTAGTTTCAGTTTTGTTTTTCTTTTCTCAGCTCATCTTAGGGATGTGGTCTTGATGGTGGTTGTCAGTATATTATGATTATTTTATGAGTATGATTATTTTAATTCTCTTTTCTGCTTGATATGTAGAGTTTTTATTAGATTGTTTTTTGTTGATTGTTGTTAGCCACCCAGAGTTCAAATATAAGATGGGTGCCCATATAAATTTTCTAAATTAATAAATAAATAAATGCCTGTAAAAAAATTCTCTTTTAATTTCATGTGGCTGGATGATTATAGGCCATCTAACATAGATTTACTGTTAGTTCTGTTCATAAGTTCCAAAAATAAAAGTCAAATTAAAGCTCAGCTTTATATGTGTAATAAGTTATTAAAGTTAATAAACCCTCTAATGTTTGTTCAAATATTTACATTTAGGAAAAAGTATCACTAGCAGTTTAGCTATCCCAGCCAAACTATAGATTAATATTCAAAAGTGAATTTTTGCTAAAGGAAAAATGGCATCAAACAGAAATGGAAAACTCCATTTAAAATGACCAAATTAAGAGGAATTGTGCAATTTGCAAATAAATCAGAAATTAAATGAGAGAAATGAGAAATGAGTTCAATTCTTTGAAATAGTGTGTTATATATGAACAAAGGGGAAAAACTATGCTTTTTGTAAATGATACCAAGTATTTATCTTACAGGTGAGATCCAGCTCACCTATGGTGGTGACTTTCGAGAAAAACAGATCCTATGGCTTACCTAGTTATGTAACCTACACTGTGAGTTTATCAGACCCAGAACTTGCAAGTAAAGCAGATTTAGATACTACCCTTACTATATCCAGCACAATGACGGACCAGTCTATAGCTATCCCAGTGACAATCACTTATGTATCTGACAGAACTCTATCAGTGAGATGTAAGTTCTATTCCTTTGTTATATTAGAAAATATTGAAGTATTCTCAATTTTTTTTTAGGATTGGATTGGTATAGTTTTATCTACAAAGTTATATGTAGTTCCATTATTTGTTATATTCTACTTTACTCTAGGAGCTCAAGGCTGCATTTATAGTACTCCGTCCTCCAGGTTTTCTCCACAACAATCCAGTGAGATGGTGTGAGCTAAGAAAGAGTAATTCAGAATCACCCAGTGAGTTAACATCACTGAGGGTGAACTTGATCCTAGGTGTCTCTAGTCCTAATCCAATACTGTAACCACTATGCTACACTGACTTGCTAACATTTGTAATTTTACCAGCAATCTGTTGTTGACATAGAGATTTTATTGCACAATGATTTTTCAACATGTTGATCTACTATTTCAGACTTCAGAAAGTTTCAACTGTTCTTCATAGCACTGAGTTTTGACAAGCAAATTCTGAACATTGTTTTGAAAATGTACATTAAGATTACATTAGATTAGATAAATATTCATGAGGAAAAGTAGCAAACTAAAGAGAAAAAAAAATTGCACCTAGGTTACAGTTTAAAGACTAAAATTAATATTTCCTCCTTTTTATTGTATTCTTCAGATAATCCAAGTTTATTCCAACACTTCTATGATTCCTATCAAGTTATGTTTTTTACGTTTTTTGCACTTTTGGCAGGAATGGCTGTTATGATCATAGGTAAGAATATCAACTGAAATTTGAAGTCGTTACTTTCAGATCTTTTTTAAAAAAATGATTAGCTGTAATTTTAAATGGAACCCAGTTGATATATTTGTTCCATTATGTTTTTTAGTGCACTATGCTGTTTTCTCACCAAAAGAACAGCAAATGCATCCAGCTTTTATCACAAGGACCAGTCCTCATCACAGACAACGTAAGCAAGATATCCATTAAACTTTGTGCTATAAAATCATGATAATGAATAATATTGCATCTAAAGATGGAGCTAAATGCCATAATTGTACTTTACAAGATAATGAAATTTAAGAAATTGCATTGTCATCATGTACAGTTCTCACCTGAGTTGACAATAATAAATTGGTATAAGGAAAAGGAAAAACAAACGAGAGCCAAATGAGCAACCTAAATCCTCTCCACTTGTAAATAGTAGAGATTTCATGTAAAAAAGGAAGCACATGATGGGTTTTAAAAGAGGTGTATTGCTTGTTGTTGTTGTTGTTATTAAAATTGATTTGTTATGGCCACCCACTCCAGAAGACTCTGGGCAGCTTACAGTGTCAGACTATATAATTAAAACAGTTAAAGACATAATAAAACACAGTATCCCACACTAAAAAGCAGCCATAATGATCAGAAAACATGACGGGTTCCATCAACACCCCAACCTGAGGCCTGGGAACAGAGCGAGGTCTTAAGGACTTTCTGGAACACCAGGAGAGTGAACATCATATGTATTTCTGGGGGGGATGCTGAAATAGAAAGAATAATATCAAATGTCCATCATCTGTATGCACATGTAAATACATTCATACCAAGAGCACTGTCTATTGTGGCTCCTATCTTGTCATACCTTCTCTAATAGCCTCAGTGGCTGCTTGCTTCTAGTTACCTGAAGGCCCAACTGTATGACATTAGTCCCACATTTGAACAGCTGGCTTTATCTGGCTGCTTCACTTTGGGAAGGGCAAGTGCTGTAGAGCTCCAATCCAGATAAGCCTTTGGTCCTTGATAAATGCTGTTCACTGGAAACAGATCTTTGGGTGCAGAAGTTGTCTTGTGAGGGACAATTCTCAGCAATTGTTCCAATTCAGATACTATGCATGTTCTGGGTCAGGCCTTCACATCTGCATTTTCTCCAAATTAAAAGCAAGTGTAGTTTGCAATTTTGTGTAAGGCTTGGTAGGTGTTTGACCACGGACTGTAGGGACATGGCTTCTTTCCCTGTATATCCACATTTTAATAGTTCTGAACCAGATCTCAGAGAGAGCCACATAGAGCATGGTTAATACATACATGTATTGTCATTCTTATTTATAGATACCGGAGTTCCTGTTACTCCTACAACTTCCTTCAGCCCTGCTTCAAGCCAACAAAGCAGTTCTCCCAGCAGGCTGTGGAGTCCTCCGTATGCTTCACAATGAAAAACTCTTCACCACAAAACTTCCTGTTTTGATTTTAAGCAACATGGACATTTGAAGTATAACATTTATATACACCATACATGGTAGTAACACCTTGGTTTATAAAAACTTTGTTTAGGATTCATGATGTCATTAATGGGGGAGGAAAATTCACTCAGCACCTGTGCTGAGCCACTCTGCTCTCCTGCTTCAGTTAATTTCAGCTAGGATTTCAAGCTGCTATACATGCATTGCATCTGCTTGCTTCCTGTGGAAATAATAATTTTATCATTTGATAAGAGGGCTTGATATCTGAGCCATAATGAAAGTATAAGGCCCAAACATGAAAGAAAAATATGTTAGTTTGAATTCAGATTGTATTACTTTATTTTTAGGCTCAGGAATGAAATGTTCTGCACTGATACTTTTTTGCACTGTTTGGCCTTCCAGGCATTTGAACTTGCTGGCTTAGGAAGTAGTTATATGAACAGTTGTCACATATTTTTATATGTAACAAAGAAAGGAAGAATAGGTAGGTACTTAGGTAGGAAGAGAGAGAGAGAGAGAGAAGGTAGGATTTTTATTTACTGCAAAATTATTAATATAGTTTCATTCAACTGATACTGCACAATTTTTTCCATTTATTTGTCAATGAAATCTTTTACTATAGCAAACTATGCATTTTTTAAAAAAATGTTTTAATCAAGTTTTTTTTAAAAAAATGTTGTTAGCCTAACAAAGAGAAGACTGCATTTTATGTGTTTTTAGAAGTGTTAAATACCTCAGCGGAGTCTCCGTATGCATCTGGTGACTTGTAAATTATAACTTGGATCAGGGAATTTTATCTTTGCACTACTGGGTTAATGTGAATGCTACTTTTTCTACTGAAGTTAGTTCAGAGTTACTGCTCATTTCAGAAGTTTAGCACAAGTACAGATATCCTGATGACTTATATAGCTGGTACAATTAATACTTAAGCTAGCTAACTGTATTCAACAATAGGCATTGTATAAGGTATTAAATCAGAACATATGGTATACAGACAAAATTTGCTTTTTGGAAGCCACCAGTCTGTTTGAAGTACGAACATTATTTTTTATGAGCCCTTTTTTCTCTGCTATTGTTGTCAGAGTCTGTATACTTTCTGCATGCTTCCATCTATTGGTTATAACAACATAAATACAGTTACTGAATGTTACAGCAGTAAAGAATTTCAAAATTCAGTGTAAGCCAAGTATAAAATGTGACTTATTAAACCATGTCTTCACAAAGGCTTTTCTAGAATTACCAAAAACCAAAAAACCAAAACACCTTACAGGACCAAATAGTGAGTCACTGTGCAAATACTAACCTAGTAGAAAACAAGACTGCCCATAAAATACAAAAAGCACTTCTTCCAGACATTGGTATCACAATACAATAATGCGATATCAACTGAGAGACTATTCCAACTGAATGTTCTAAAGATAACTTTTATTTGTAGTATCAAATACAATCTGGTATCATGTCATTTTTGCATTATTTAGAATAGGAATTCTGAAAAGTCTTGCAGAATAATCTTGGATGGGTTCACAAAGGGATGGCAAAGCTGGTCATTTACCTGTTAGGCCTGCTGACTCACATCAGCCCAGAAGTATGTGCGTTGTGATGGGACCAATTTCCTTTCATCAGCTGTGAGATTGTGAGAGGCTCTTTCAGCAATAAAATCTGGATTCAGCATATTGCAAAATGGCGCCCACCAATCCAGTAATAGCTTTGCACCTAGGTGAACAGGAGTTGCCAGTATAACTGTACCCCTCCAGCTGGTGGTATTCTCTTATTCTAATGCTGTGAGATTTTGAATATGCTTAATTGTGAATTCTAAACATTTTTTAAAGAAAACTAATGACATTTCATAGAAATTAAAATTTACAAACAGTGTTGATAGTTAAAGGCTTTGAGTTTATGTGTTTATTATTAAAAAAGATTAGCTACTTTTCTATATTTCTGAAACATCAGGAAAATAAAATAAAGATCTACTTTAACAGATAAGTAAATTGCTTGAAGATTATTATATTTTTAATTGTTAAGTATATTAATACTGTATTTGATTGATTGATTATAGAAAAACTTTCTCTGGGAAAATCTGTTCCCAACATGGTCCTTCAGGTCTTCTAATGTTGCACTGCTATAATTCAGACCATCCACCTTGCCACTGGTTGTCCTTTTCCTCTCTTTCTTTCCAGATATTGTATTTACATGAAATGAAAGTTGTCCTAAATTTAAGACTGTCCTGCCCCCTAAAAATGAGCATTAGGGAAAAAAAACTATCTTGTGTCACTACTGTATTCTCTGAGACTCTTAAGGCAGTATTCACATTTTAAAAATACATTGCTTCGCAGGGAAAAAACTGGGCATGTCACACTGACATAGCAACTACTCTAGACTTCTTCAAAACCAGTTTGAAGCTATTCTGGAGTTGTCTTTAGTCTTCCTTGCTATGTATTCTCAAAATACTGTACTGATAGTATGATGCACCGATCACTGCTCCTCCAGCTGACCAATCAGAGTACAAAAATGTCATTGATCAGTGCCTTCTACCCAGTCCACTTTATTTTTGTTTTGGGTGTGTGCACACACATGCATGCCTTTGAGTCAGTGGTGATTCCTGGCAACTGTGTCCGGACAGGTTCCTGCAGGTTTTTGGCAAAGTGGGTTGCCTGTGCCTTCTTCCTAGGGCTGAAAGAGAGTGACTGACCTAAAGTCACCCAGTTGGTTTTATGCCTAAGCAGGGCTAGAACTCACAGTTACCCAGTTTCTGTCATGGTATCTTTAACCACTACACTAAACTGGGTCTCATTTATGCCTTATATCCTTAAAAATCCAAGCAGATTTGTAGGTGTGTGATGGGAAGAATAGCTACCAAATAACTGGTTTTTAAAGAAGCATCTTGGCAAAACATGTTGGTGGCTAAGTTTGGGGGTGTGTAGGGAGGTTTTGGCTTCATGGACAGAATCCACAAAGGAGGTATTTGCAAGCAGTTTTTCATCAAAGGGCTTATACAAGCCCTATTGCTTATTTTTCAATTTATATTGGATTGTTTTGGAATGGAATCATAAACTAAAATCAGAGACATAAAATGATGAAAATTATCCTCTTGATAGTAGCCATTCTCTGAACAGTTCCTCAGTTTGGTGGAGTTCTCCACATCAGCAAGCTGATTAACACATACAATCCAATAGGAACACATACAGGTGAAACTCGAAAAATTAGAATATCATGCAAATGTTCATTTATGTCAGTAAGCATATATTGGTTTCACCTTTTGAGTTGCCTTACTGACATAAATGAACATTTGCATGATATTCTAATTTTTCGAGTTTCACCTGTATGTGTTCCTATTCCTTACTGACATAAATGAACATTTGCATGATATTCTAATTTTTCGAGTTTCACCTGTATGTGTTCCTATTCCTTACTGACATAAATGAACATTTGCATGATATTCTAATTTTTCGAGTTTCACCTGTATGTGTTCCTATTCCTTACTGACATAAATGAACATTTGCATGATATTCTAATTTTTCGAGTTTCACCTGTATGTGTTCCTATTCCTTACTGACATAAATGAACATTTGCATGATATTCTAATTTTTCGAGTTTCACCTGTATGTGTTCCTATTCCTTACTGACATAAATGAACATTTGCATGATATTCTAATTTTTCGAGTTTCACCTGTATGTGTTCCTATTCCTTACTGACATAAATGAACATTTGCATGATATTCTAATTTTTCGAGTTTCACCTGTATGTGTTCCTATTCCTTACTGACATAAATGAACATTTGCATGATATTCTAATTTTTCGAGTTTCACCTGTATGTGTTCCTATTCCTTACTGACATAAATGAACATTTGCACGATATTCTCATTTTTCGAGTTTCACCTGTAGTGTTCCTCAATTGTATAATATCTTAAACTTGTCTTGCTTGTCTTTGGTATTTTGGGATGCAAAAGCTGCTTTATCAAGATTCCTGAGGTGAATCTGTAGAGTTTGGATTTTGTACATATGTTACAAAATGAGGCATACACAGCATTGGTGTTGTGGGTGGTTGATGTAAAACACATGTACTCTTTCAATTTCAGCTGTTTTCACAATAAATTCAATAAAGAATTGCACATAAGTGCTCTTGAGCTGTGGTCAGCTATAATTCCAATGACAGTATAAGATAAGTACCTCTGAAGGGCTCTGACAAACTCAAGAAAAATATATCTACTTGATAAAACACAGCTTACAAGATACAGTTTTCTCTTGATATTCTTCTTTCCTTTTGGATCTAAATCTAGTCATAAGACAGATCCACTAAATCAGTGGTATTTAACTTCATAATAACTACATCCCAATCATTTTAGTGATCATGGAACTAACGCCTTACTTTCTGCAATTTGTCACTTATTTTTCTCTTACTCTTCCCACACAAACCTTGCACTTCATGGTACATGGTTATTAGAATTTGTTTCTTTGACATGAATGAATATATCCACAAAGGAACCACATATTAAAACAACATATTTTATGTGTGGTCACAATTCAAAAATAACATATAATACAGCTAAGTACTTGAGTAAAACAATACAGTTGAGATCTGCATATGTGGGGTTGCTTGGGATAAATTGTAGGGGTGACATGAAAATATGATTTGTGCTCTCATTTAATATATTTAATCATTGTATTTTAGTCTCATTTTACTTAATTAGTATTTAATTTGTTTTTACATCAGGTTTTACATAGGGTTTTATTAATATTTTGTATTTTGATATGGCCTAAGGGCTAATCAATAAATTTCAATTTGATTTGATTTGATCCACAAAGGATGATATTTCATGATACAAGAAGCATTCTTGTAACATTTTATGCAGACTTCATGAACACCAAGCATTATATATTGTAGTATTCATTTATTCTGTAGTCATTCTCTGATTTAAAAGCCAACTTTGGCAACGATATTAGAAAAATACAATTGAGCAATAATATATTATTACTAGTTAAAAACACACTCTAATAGATGACAGGAGAGAAATGTCATGCTGTACAACATAAGTTGCCTTAACAGATTTCAAGATACAATGTATCTGATCACACATTCTGATTTGACTTTTGGTGTAGCCTTTGTGCCAGAGATATTAGATATCAATCTTCATTATCCCCAACTATCATAATGTCTGACATATAAGGGCACTAATTTCTGGGGAACTAATTTCCTTGAGGAATTACAATACCTAGTCATTTATATTAACAAATTTTAATAATGTGTAATAAATGGGATAGGTATGAAAAGGTGGTGATTGGCTCTGAAAAACTGACATATGTTCAGGTCAGAGTAACCTGAAATAAGTTTGTGGTAAGGTTATACCACACACAAAACTCAAACTCCCTAAAGATCAAGCTTTCTATCTTCAGCTCCACTAGCACTAATTCACTCCTGTTTTTCTTATTTCTACAATTGACTTTCAAGAATTCCAATTCATATTTTAAATTTACTTCTTAGACTGAGTTCCTGGAGAAAAAGCAGGATACCAAAGTAACTTACATGGGTGCATCAGTTCATTTTATTCCCACAGCAGTAACCCTGTGAAGTAAATTGAGCTGAGACAGAAGTTTCCCAGTATATTTCCATATCTAAGGGTGGACTTGAACCTAGATCTCCCCCGTCCTATGTCAGCATCTTAAACACTGCATCCTAGTGATTCTTTTCATATTTGTTAGGGAGATTAATGCTCAGTATAAACAAAGCCTTGCAGTAAAATTAAATAGACACAATTGCAACTATATTGGACTTCCAGGGGAGGTATGATGAACTGAAGAAAGCTCTGCGAAAGCGGAGCTGATGATCGCAGCAAAGACCAAGGAACAAGGAAGTAGACCAGTTCCTTGCAACCTCTCTGAATAAGGAAAGGATGGGAGATTGCCCACATGTGCTCTGGACAGCTGGTCCTCATGCGGAGACCACAGGACAGTGGTTTGAGCACCGGGAGATGACAGGATTAGCCATCTTGCTCACAACTGCAGCAGAGACTTTTAAAGGACATTAAGTTCGCAAACTTCACTTTCTAATCACTTTTGGAAATTGCTCATTAACTACTTCTAAGCTATTTATTAGAGACCTTCAGAATGAAAGTTCAAAAACACTGGGTGAGTCTGCCTTCAGTCCTGAATGAAATAAAATTTTAATCATAAGCTTAAGAATGTAAAGAATCTGAAATAAAAAGCAAAAAGCTAAATAATATTTTGATCTTAGAAAGTTACAAACCGACTAAATTGCAATATTCAAACTCTTACAATAAGATTTTGGAATTCATTATAAAGTACAAATAGCTTCTCATGGGAAATAGATCCTGTTTTGATTTTTACGAGACATAACATAGATAAATTATTTCATGATTTCAAAAACCACACTAGAGGGGACTAAAGATATTAGGTAGAGGAAAGATATACAGGCCTGTAAGATGGTGCAAAACGTTACGACAATAAAAATACTGAAAGAGACTGGAAGAATAGAATCAGAAAGTAGTAGCCACAATATCAACAATGTAAGTAATGATGCCTGCTTCTATGGATAGACTGTGTCCAAAAGATGTTACTGAAGGAATGTCAGATGTAGACCAAATTTTATCTGACAAGATAGAGATGATATCAAAAGTGGATTTACAACAGACAGGCCAAGAGGATGACTTCAAAAAGGCTGTTTCACTGGATCTACAAAAGAAACTGGATGAGGTTTTAAAATTTAAAAGGGAAATACAAATGCCAAACCAAGAGTGTCCTGGATCATTTTTTCTTACCGGATTTACAAAAGAGGCTTGTTAAAGCCTTGAAGCACTTTGTGCAATGGGACAAAGAAGAAATAAAGAAAAATCAAATCCTATGACAAGATTTGAATGAACTAAAGATTAATACTGTTAGAAGTAAAAGGAAAATATAAAATTGCTTTATTTGATCAAGGTTAAAAGAAGGTA